GAAAAAATCAATGAAAACAAAAAAATATAGAAAACAAAAAAAAAAGAATTTTTTGAAAAGTAAATTATGAATGGAAACCAAATGGAGTGATTGAGATTTCTTTCACACCAACCACCTCAGAAGTGAATTTTTTTTTTTTTCATATTACCTTTATTTTTAGTAGGAGAAATTGTAATTCAATAGAAGATTAAAAAAAAAAAATTCAAATAATGATAAATTTTATCAACTTTAAAAATTAAGGTTATTAATTTTTATGAATTTTTAAATATTTTATAAATATTCGACAAATTTGTAATTTTTTCGATTTAATTATTTTTACAAAAGTTATATTTAAAAAAAAAACTTTTAAGTCGTCGTATCAATGTTGCCGTGTGGACCCGAGGCTAAAGCAATCAAACTTAGATCTCGTTTGGGAACAGGTTTTTTTTTGTAATTTTTTTGATTTTTTGGCTAAAATATGATGTAAAAAAAACTAGTATGTTTTGGATGACTTTTTAACTTTTTACGAAAAGAGACGCAAAAAGTAAAAAGAAAAAGAAAATCTTTGATTTTTTTGTATAAGTTATTGACTTCCTAATTTTTTTAATAATTTTTTTAACTTTTTAACTAAAAAAGTCATTTGTGAAATGAGGCCTAGTGAAAAATTGTGGAACCAAGCAAAGCAGAAGACAAACCATTCTCTCATTTTCTCTCTCTAAGGTTGACTTTTGTGAAGTTTTTCCTTGTTGGTGATGAGGTGTGGGACCATTGCTAATGCAAGCAATCTTGATAAATTGTACAAGCAAAGACCATAAACAAGAAAATTATTAATTAAGGGGCTCTGCTTATTTTATCATCAATCAATCAATTAATCACTAATTGTTATGCACTCTTTATTATTTTTCGTGTCCGAACACAACGGCCATATTTGATTGGCGGTTTGAGGAGGAGAATTGTATTAGTAATATGTGAGCCTCACTTAAATGATATTTATTTGTAATATGAGATTGTTAATTCATGGACTTCATCTCGTGGTGTGATTAACATCTAATGAAATGGTTTAGAATTATTAGTCCAATCTCATGGATTGGTGATTAAAAGACCATTGTGTTCCTCATTTTACAAAACTAACAAAGTTGCCTTGTATGCGATAAGGTTTTTACGTAATTTTCATATTTAATTTCAATTAACTAATATCACCACACTAGTGCATAGATAAATGCATTTATCTTATATCTTTAACCTAATACCATCATACTAATAATTCCATCACTCAATTACATCCATCTTAATTCACCAAACAAATATGACCAAAATCATGACATCTACCTCTTTTACCAATCATAACCCCCTTGCAACACCACCTAACCATGGAATTGAGGTGGCTATTGTGTGGAGAGGGATAGTAGGACCCCTATCAGGATCCATTTCGACAACCAAACCATTACCTTTAGGATACAAAATATACCTGCAAAAAATAAAATTGATCGATATCGATAGCCCTTTCATTTAATTGTATTTGTATCCATAAAAAATAATGATAAATGTGATTTAAAATATAAAACTGAATATGCAATTCAATGAAAAGACGATATCCGATCAACTTGATTTTTTTACAGGTATGTTCTATTTGATATACCTTACAAAGTCAACAGTTTGGATTATCAAAAGAGTTAATTACTTACAGGTCTTGTGATAAGAACATGTGCACCATTAAGTACCACAAGTGTATTTATAGATCAAAAAATTCTAATAGTTGGACTTAACTTTTTGTGATGATTTTATGAATCTATCACTAAAAACTAAAAATTAGTGACGATTTTCTAAATCTCTCATTGAAAAATGACAATTAATAACTTTTTTGTAAAGAATTTTTTAACTTGTCATTCAAAACTTATAATTAATAACATTTTTTATGAAAATACCGCTAACCAAAAAAAAAAAATTGTAACAATTAAAAGTGAAAGGAATTTTTGCTACACCAAAAAGTCAAGAAGATTTATTGATGCATTCATCTTTCTAATAAAATTTTGCAGTCAGATCCCTTTATCAAAATTGACTCAAAATTAGTCCCATCGATCGAACAACAGTAACTATTACCCAAAATTACTAAATAATATTCCCCATAAACAAAGCATATACTATGTGGTTGGGCAGCTATCTCTGAACTTTTGTGGGTTGCCAAATGGTGACACTAGGCAAAAATTATGGAAAACTATTTTATTGTCACCTGTCCTTCTAAGTTTTACATACTTGTTATTTTTTATTTTATTATTGGCCAGCGTTGCCGTGTCAGGATAGAAGGAAAAAATTATGGAAAACTATTTCATTATCACTCATCTTTCTAAGTTTTATATACTTTTTTTTTTATTTTTATACCAACAATATTACATTCTTCTAGTTTATCATCCTTAAAGACGCTTAATGATAATGACCTCTAATAATGTGGCATTAATGTTACACTCTGTATGATCGAAGTATGACAAATCAAAATTTAGTACTTGTCAATTAATAGTAAATTTTAAAAATGATAAATCAGATATTTCAAGTATTTTTCTTATTTTATTGGCTCTGTGATTGATTTAATAATTTTTATCACTTGTATTCATTGGCCAGTGTTGCCGTGTTAGGTTAGGACATGAGGAAAAAGCTATGGAATTTCATTCGCACGTCTAACGTTTGTAAATTTTTGTGTGTTTGTCTTTGATTTCTTTTTTTATTTTGGTTTTTTAGTGAGTGATCATTTTTTATTTAAAATAAAAGCAATACTATACAAATAAAATTTTAGGGTAAAATTTATTTTACCCTCTTGTGATTTAGGGTTGGAGTGCTTTTATAATTCAAATATAAGCAGATACCTCTCTTGTGATTTTAGACTAAATTATAACACAAACTCCGTTAAAGTTAATAATAAAAAGTCATTTATACCCTCCTTTGTTTTCTTCTACATTATTCTTTGCGAATATATATTACACCTCATTAAGTATCAATTTTTTTATAACTCCAATTTACTACCCTTTAAACTTAATTTGTAAGATTTATTATTTTTCTAAGCTTAATTAAGAACGAATTTATTTAACTTTAAAACTTAATTTCAAGTTTAATAAAATATTAAGGGCTTTTTATTTTTTATTTTTTAAAGATTGGAATGAAATATTAAGTTATACATGTATATATGTATATGAAAAATGGCGTTTAATTCCTCTAGTTTTGGTGGTCAATTAGAATCTAGGTTGGAGATATGTGAGTCTAGATCTACGAGACAATCACATATGTTAGTATAATAAAATGTCTAAACTTTTGTAATTCATTACACATTTTATAGTTAATGTTATGAAATTTTGTGATAAAGTTTCGTCAATTTGTAATAGGGTACATATGAATGCACCCCTTTGAGGTGCTACCCATGGAGTTTTCCTTGATTATCACCTATTTTGATGCTAGTTAAAATTTAGTTATGACTTATTGTAGTGTTAGTTATGACTCATTCTGTTATCGATTATGACTTATTTTGATTATTATTTTCAAAAAGTCTTTGGTTATATTTTTTTTTTATGTGATGTTCTGTTATGACTCATTATTATTATTTTCATTACACATTTTATAGTTAGGCCTTGTTTGTCATCTACTATATAATCCATCTTTTTATCTTTTTATCTTTTTTCCATCACATCACCTCTCTACTTTTCTGCACATCTTTTCGTAAAAAGACAAAAAGTGCACTTTTTTAGGACACCCCAAACCAGCCCTTAATGTTATGAAATTTTGTGATAAAGTTTCGTCAATTTGTAATAGGGTACATATGAATGCACCCCTTTGAGGTGCTACCCATGGAGTTTTCCTTGATTATCACCTATTTTGATGCTAGTTAAAATTTAGTTATGACTTATTGTAGTATTAGTTATGACTCATTCTGTTATCAATTATGATTTATTTTGATTATTATTTTCAAAAAGTCTTTGGTCATATATATATATTTTTTTATGTGATGTTCTCTTATGACTCATTATTATTTTATTTTTTTTAAGTTATGACTTCAAAAGATTTAATTAGAATATAACTTGCATATGATACACACTTCAAAATGGATGTGAATAGTAGTATGACCTGGAATAATTTAAGTTGAGATAGAATACATACATATATATATATATATATATATATATAAGTAGAATTTTTATAAATAGAAAGAGAATTCTTAACATAATTTCAAATAACTAATTTTATATAGCGATAACTATTTCACTCAATGTTAAAGTTCATAACTAAACAAACATATCTAAATTTGAGTTATAATTGTTGAATAATCAAGATTAAATTTCTTGATTTGAAATTCATATTTATCCAAACGGATCCTTAGTTAAAAGTATTGGGATTTCTTTCATAAATTATTTTTTATAAAAATAAAAAATAAAAAAAATTCAAATTACTTTTATTTTTAGTAGGAAAAATTACAATTCAGTGAAAGTTTTTTTTTTTTTTTAAATAAAATCAAATTAGTGATAAATTTTATCAACTTTAACAATTAAAGTTATAATTTTTAAAATATTTTGTAAATATTCGACAGATTTATAATTTTTCCTTTCTAAATTTTTTTTTAAAAAAATTATGCTTAAAAAAAAAAAAAAAAAAAAAAAAAAAAACACTTTTAAGTCTCTGCAATCAACCTTACCGTGTGGGCCAAGCCTAAAGCAATAAGAGTTGGTGGATTGGCTAGTAATTTCCTACAAAGCAATTAAAGTGGACCCGAGGCTAAAGTCGGATTGTGGAACCAAACAAAACAGAGCAGAAAACCAATCATTCTCCCGTACATTTCAATTTGGCAAAGAAACTGGCAGATTGCAAAGGCACAAAACAATCTTCTTCTATTTTCCTTCAATTTCTCCTACTCTTTCCTTTCCAAAGACAAAAATATGGCCGAAATGATGATAGCAGGGTCTCTTCTCTCTGCCTCCTTCAAAGTGTTGTTTGAACGATTGGCTTGTCCCCTGTTTGTGAAATTCTTTAAGAGTCTAACGCGCCATAATGAAGGTGATAAACTACTCAAGAAGCTCAAATCAAAATTGCTGCGACTTAGTGTCATCCTCAATGATGCAGAGAAACAACAATTCACTAATCAATTAGTGAAAGATTGGCTGGACGAGCTTAAAGATGCTATCTACCACGCAGATGACTTAGTGGATGAGATTGCTACTAAAGCTTTGGGGTGCAAGGTAGAAGCTGAGTTTCGAAGCGCTGTGAAAAACCAGGTAACAACCTCAACCTCGACTTCTGATTCAAGTGTATATGATGCAAAGCTAGTGTCCCAGATGGAGGAGATCATTAAAAGACTAGAATGTTTTTTAGAAGAAAAAGATGATCTTGGTTTGAAAGAAATTGCTGATCTGAAGTGGTCTCACTCTCACAGATTGCCATCAACTTCTTTAGTTGATGAATCTGGTGTGTATGGGAGGGATGATGACAAGGAGAAGATAATTAAAATATTGCTTTTGGGTGAGGCGAGTAGTAATAAGATAGATGTGATTCCAATCATTGGGATGGGTGGAATAGGCAAGACCACCCTTGCTCAACTCATATACAATGATGGCAGAGTACTTGAGCATTTTGATATGAAAGCATGGGTTTGTGTTTCTGATGAATTTGATGTTCTTAGGGTTACAAGAACAATTCTTGAGGCAATCACTTCAAGTAATTATAACACACAAGACCTAAATATGCTTCAAGTTAAGTTGAAGGAGAGATTGGCGGGGAAGAAGTTTCTAGTTGTTTTGGACGATGTCTGGAATGAGAACCCTAGTCATTGGGAAATCTTGAGGACTCCTTTCACAGCTGGTGCATATGGAAGTAAGATTGTTGCAACAACCCGTAATCATAGTGTCGCATCTATCATACACACCATTCCTATTCATCATTTGCAACACTTATCGAATGAAGATTGTTGGTTAGTTTTTGCTCAAATTGCTTTTGACAAAGGAGAGTCGAAGGCTTTTCCGAAACTTGAAAAGATTGGTAAACAAATAGTGGATAGGTGCAAAGGTTTGCCTTTAGCTACAAAAACACTTGCATGTCTATTACGCTTCAAACTTGATGTTGAGGAATGGGATGAAATATTGAAGAGTGACATATGGGATTTGCCAGAGGATAAGAACAACATTCTTCCAGCCTTGAGATTGAGCTATCATTATCTCTCTCCACATTTAAAGCAATGTTTTGCTTTTTGTTCTACTTTTCCTAAAGATTATGGATTTGTAAAAGAGAAGCTAGTCTCGTTCTGGATAGCTTTGAATTATGTGCAACAAACTAGAAATAATAATACTTTGGAAAAGATTGGGGAGGAGTATTTTGATGAACTATTATCAAGGTCATTCTTTCAACAACCAAGACGTAGTAGATCCTTTTTTGTAATGCATGATTTAGTCCATGACCTAGCTCAAGTTGTCCATGGACAATTTTCTTTCAGGGTAGATGACAAGAAGCTACTCGATATTTCTCCTAAAGCACGCCATTTTTCATATAAGAGGACAACATTAGATGGTTTTGAAAAATTCAAGGCAATTAATGAGGCAAAGTATTTAAGGTCTATTTTACAATTAAATCAATATCACAGTCCATGTGATTGTTCATACTTGTCCAAGAAGGTATTGGATGACATTTTTCCAATGCAAAAATGCTTACGGTTGCTGTCATTGCCATGTTATAATATTATGGATTTGCATGATTCAATTGATAATATGATACATATTCGTTATTTGGATCTCTCTGCAACAAAAATAAAAAAATTGCCCAAAGTAGTTTGCACCCTGTATAATTTGCAAACATTGCTACTATCAAATTGTTCTCTTCTCACAACCTTGCCGATGGAGATTGGAAAATTAATTCTCTTGCGTCATCTTCATATTAGTGGAACTAATTTAATGGAGATGCCGATGCAAATGAGTCGACTAAAAGGTCTCCAACATTTAACTGATTTTGTTGTGGGAAAGTGCAGTGGGTCAGCTATTAACGAGTTGAAGGAGTTTCATAATCTTCGTGCAAAACTGACAATTTCAGGTTTGCAAAATGTAAAGAGTGGAAGGGATGCATTGGAAGCAAAGCTGAAGGAAAAAGAGCACCTTGAAGAGATAGTGTTGGAATGGGGTAAAACTACGGAGGATTCACAGAATGAAAGAGAAGTACTTGAAAATTTGCAGCCTCATAAAAATTTGAAGCGCCTCACAATCAAACGATATGGGGGCACAAGATTTTCAGAGTGGTTGGGAGATCACTCATACTTTAATATAGTGTCTTTATGCATTGATAAATGTGATCATTGCTTTTCATTGCCGCCCCTTGGTAAACTGCCCTCTTTGAAACACCTTAACATAGCAAGGATGAATGGAATAATTATGGTGGGTGAGGAATTCTATGGTGATGGTTCTTCAACCAAACCTTTTCAATCTCTCGAGACTCTTCGTTTTGAAGAAATGTTGGAGTGGGTGGAATGGTATATTTTGGGGGCTGAAGAGTTTTCGCAACTTAAAGAACTTTGTATAATCAAGTGTCCAAAGTTGGTTGGAGGCTTACCCATACGCATGCCATCTTGGGTGAGTCTCGAGATTCGTGAATGCTCAGCACTTACAGCTTTGCTTCCAAGGACTTCGGTTGCAAATAAACTAGTATTGAATGGATGCAATGGCGTAGACTTGGGATGGCATGGTGTGTCTTCTCTTGTAAAATTGGAGATTTCAAATATGCCAAGTTTAAAGGAATTGACACCCGAGCTACACATGCTAACAAATCTGCAGGAGTTAATCATAAGGAATTGTCGAAGCCTTGTGTCATTTCCACACACAGGATTGCCGCTGATGCTTACAAGACTTGAGGTTCGGCGCTGTGAGGCTTTGGATTCTGTAAATGTGTGCCTCAACACTCGCCTTCAGAAATTGGTCATTGAAAACTGTTCGTCACTTTTGTCTTTTGCTGTTGGTGTTCTACCCATTACGTTGAATTTAATTCATATTTCGAAATGTCCGAAACTAGTTTTCTCGGTATCAGAGGAGATGGAGTGCTGCAACAGTTCCCTTAAATGGTTATCATTGCATAGCTGTGGTACTCTCAAGTCCTTGCCGCTTGGATTCTTTCCGAAACTTCGACATCTAAATACCACAAATTTTGAAATCCTTTCAATTCCGAATGGCCATGGACCAAGAATTTCGACATCGCTTGTGCGTGTTGAGATTAGTGGTTGCAATAGTATGGTATCTTGTCTGCAAGAAGCATTATACGCTCCCAATCTGAAAACTTTTTGGGTCCAAAACTGCAAAAAGCTCAAGTTGCTGCCAGAAGGAATGCATACCCACCTTCCATCTCTTGAATCACTGACAATATGGAACTGTCCAGAAATTGAGACCTTTCCGGAAGGGGGTCTGCCTTCCAACTTACGTCGACTTCAAGTCTGGGGTTGCAAGAAACTTGTGGATTGCCGGAGAGAGTGGGGTTTGCAACGACTCCCCTCTCTTACAGAGTTCGTATTCGGAGGAGGCAAATACGAAGAAGAGGATGATGATGTGCTGGAGTCCTTTCTGGAGGAAGCCCTGCTGCCCCCCACTCTTACATTGCTCGGTATCAATAATCTACAAAATCTGAAATCAATCAACTACCAGAGCTTTCAACACCTGACTTGTCTCAAAGAGCTGCGAATCTGCCAATGCCCTCAACTCCAATCCTTGCCCGAAGAGGGTTTTCTCGCCTCCCTTTCTATGCTGGAAATCTTCGCATGTCCATTACTGAAACCTCGTTGCGAGAGGGACAGAGGTGATGAATGGCACAAGATTGCTCATATCCCCTTCGTAAAAATCGATGATGAAGTGATTTGTTTTGAGCAACTCACTGGCAACTTCAGTTAAATATTCTTCTGCAAATTGTTCACTCTACCCAAAGCACCAAACATCGCAACTTTCTTAGAGGTAAATCACCAGAGATATTTCACCATTTACTTATTCCTTGTGTTTTGGTGCTAACTTTCCTGTATATATATATATATAGAAAAAAATATCATGAAAAGTTTCATAAAACAAATTCAAGGGTGATTGTATAACATACAATAAAATATTATAAATACTATAAACTAATTTCCTATATATATATATATTTGATCAGTGACATTCTATTTGGCCTTTGCCTGTTCCTTTTCTGGTATTCATTCTTTTTTTTTTTTCCCATTCTTCGAGGGCTCAAAAATAAATTTTGCCAACAAAAATCTTATTCAAATTAATACATTTTATAAATTCTTTTAGGTGTTTGGTTAAGAAATTTGAGAAGAAATTTAAAAGAGAAAATATATGAAATTAGATAAAATATAAATATATTTTATTCACATTTTATTTTTATTATTAATTTTTTTTTTCTTTCTAAGCCTTTGTTTGGGAACTTGGTTTGGGGCTAAAATAGCCACAAAAAACAAAATAGGTTATTTTAGCCACAAAAAACAAAACATCAAATCCAACCCATAATCATTACAATCCTCTCTCACAAAAAAAGCCAAAAAAGCCAAAAAGCCAAAAAGGCCTTCCCAAACCAGGCTAAAATAGCCCAGGCTAAAATAGCCAAAAAGCCAAAAAGCCAACCCACTTCCCAAACGGAGGCTAAATCACTTCTCAATTTTTTTAACCAAACACAACTTTAGTAGCTGATGTTACTCCCCGTTTGGGGATTTACTTTTTTAGTCAATTAGTCAAAAATTACTAAATTAGTCAAAAAGCCAACAACTCATACGAAAAAGTCAAATATTCTCTTTTCTCTCTACTTTTTGCATATCTTTTCGTAATTAGCCAAAAAATCATCTCAAATATACAAAAAAAATTTACCTACCTTTTTAACCAAATAGCTAAAAAGTTACTAAATTAGTCTGTTTCCCAACAAGGCTTAGTGATATAATGATGTCTGCCACATCAATAAACAAATAAAAAACAAGTAAATTTATTAATATTATACTAAAGGTAAATAACGGTGGAAAATTTTTATAATCTAAAGTTAAACCACCTCTACTTCTTTTCCACGTCAAATTCTCATATTCTAGACTGAGTAAGCTTGACATCCGGATTGGATCAAAACTTGAGGACTGGCACAGGTTTTACTAGGTTACCCTCCCTTAGCATAAATCTTGGCATTTTCATTATACTAATGCTCTATAAATTAATAAAATTTTCAAATTATTATTCAACGACCTGACATCTATTACATTATTGAAGTGAGAATGTTTTATATTTAAAAATTTTCTAAATTGCATGACGACATATTAGGTACTACCTACAACGAGGAAGATTAGTGATTTGAAGCAGCTTAATTACGTCCTATAACACCCAAAGACTTTGATAGTTTACATAGCATTTTTGTTTTCACTAACCGGTCCTACGAGCGACCAATCAATAAACATTTGTTAAAATTAGAAAGTATAAAATTCAATCCACATTTTACATATTTAAATAACCTTATATATTTTTATAATTTTTAATATATTTTAATATAATATATTTATTACATATATATCAACATTAACTACTGGTCAAATGGTGATTAACATGATCATGAAAAATTTATGACCCTTAGATTACCTTGATTAGTGTGTGGTGTTTTATTTTAAGTGTAATCTAAGAATCATAAATCTTTCATGATCATTTTCATGAAAGTTTTTTCATAATACGTAGCATTACTCATTTAAATAACCTTATATATTTTTATAATTTTTAATGTATTTTAATATAATATATTTATTACATATATATCAACATTAACTACTGGTCAAATGGTGATTAACATTTCCCTTCATTAATATATCTCACTTTTGTGAATGAACTCGAGCTTCAGCATCCCGCAACCAAGATTTTGGTTTTGGTGGGCAAGGCTTAACAGGAGGACATAGGAGATGGAGCTAATTTGACAGTTTTGTTTGCTGGAGAGCTCCTTCAAAATGCCGAGGAGCTCATAAGGATGGGATTGCACCCAAGTGAGATAATCATAGGATACCCGAAAGCAACTAATAAGGTTTGCCAATCTTACACTGAGTGTTCGGAATCACTGGTATTTCTTATGTACAAAAAGTACAAGTAATTGTTCTATCTCATTATCTTTGACCATGCTTGCAGACTGTTGAAATCTTGGATGAATTGGTTGAAAAAGGTTCTGAAAAGATGGATGTAAGGAACAAGGATGAAGTTATTAAACGAATGAAAGCTACTGTTGCTAGCAAGGAATTTGGGTTGGAGGATATTTTATGTCCTCTTATTGCTGAGGTGAATCTTCTCTACCTTTGCCGCCGTTGTTTTTAGCAATAGCGTCAAGTATATTAGATTCTGACTATGAATATTTACACGTAGAATGAATTGTTACTGGCACTTTTTGTTTGATAAATTAAATCATTGTGATTTCCTCATGGGAAAGAATTTAGGTGTTATTGTTTCAAAGTGGGTTTAGCACCAAATCGATTCCTATAGTTCTAGAAAACTTGGAACCAAAACCAGACTGTTGAAGCTATACAACTGACCCAGAACCAAACTGTAGAAATCAGTTTGGTTTGGTTTTAGTTCTACGGTTCAAGGTTATTTTATTCTGGAAAGTCCCAAACATAAATCAATAGAAGATCAATTAATTGCAACAAAATTTAACATGAAGGTCTAAGTGTGTAGTGCATGTATGTATAAAATATATGCAAATCTATTTGGCTAGATTAAATGTGATATCAAATTAAATTGGGTTGATCAATTTGCAGCCTTTGTGGAAGCATACCATTGTATTACATGTACACGATTAGATAAAAGGCCCAGATGTGTACTCTTCAAACCTGAAGTAGTGACTTGGAACAAAAACAAGAATGGCATCTTTTAAAGTCACGATTATGATTTTGAGGGTTAAACCATTGTAACATATTATGTGGTTTCTATATAGCCATGTGTAGCACAACTCCTTACTTGTTGTATTTGCATAATTCTTTGGTGGGCATATTATTCTGCAAGTCATCACAAGATGTTTAAATTAGGCAGTTTCTTACTTGTGGCAGCGTATAAACTTATGGAGCATTGCCCTTCTCTCTTGCCCTTGTTTTTTCACATTTTAAAGGTTGCTTAGAAGTTTATATCTACCTAATGCAAGATAGATTACACTAATCAACTTTTAGTGGACTAACTGATATCAATAATATTCTATGATCATTATTTATCAAATATATATATATATATATATATATTCCATGATCATTTTGATTTTGTAATTACAGTTGAAGTTAGGTTGTAATTGTATTTTTGTGATTACATCTTAAAAAGTTCATTGTGAAATGGGTTTATGGACTATCAACAAAATTCTTTGGCCGTATGAGCAAATTATGTTAATGACTACATAAGAAAATTATTGGTTTTGTAGTTCTTTGACTTTATATGTTTAGGCCAAAGATGCACGGGGGGCATATTGCTTTGAAGTGGAAATTCATTGTGGATCAAGTTACTTCATTTTTTATCCATAATTTTGTAGGTTGTCATGTTTGTTGGTGGTGTTAATACATCTGCAACTGAAACAAAAGGAACCGTCCTTATTCATAGTGCTGAGCAGGTACATTCTATACTTTATATTTCTGATGTCTTCCTTCGATAATCATGCCTAATTCTTTTTAACTTTGGTGGTGGTGAGGGTGTTGTGTGAGAACCTCAAAGTGCTTCTTTTCTTATAATGTGCAAAATTGTCTCGATACATAATTGACTTGTTTGCTACTTGTTCAAAGCTAATAATCGAAAATGCTAGAAGTGTTGACATATGGCTTATCATCTTGAAAGTGATAGTTTAGTTGATAACTTGGAGTTTGACTACCTGCTTAGCTTATTGGACTCACTCTTTTGATTGCAGCATGTATTTTTTGTTAACGTATTTGTTGCGAGTCTGGATAGGGTATTTGTGCACTGAGTTGAGAGTGCTTTTAATATATTTTTTTCAGTTTCCCCAAAGGCCCTGCCAAGCTTTCGATAGTTTTTGATTGTTTGTTTGTTTTGGTTTGGCTTAAATGAGTTGCTGTCATTCAGAATTGAAAGAATTTGTGCATAGGTTTTCCACTCAGTGTTAGTTGAGTAAGTAATTTGCCTTGGTGTGTGTAAATCCTCAAGAAATATAGGATCCAACTAGCTCTGAGAATGGATAGATGTCAATGATTGCTAACTTTTCCATTGGTGCATACTGCTGACAGTGATGATGTTCCATGAGATGATTTGTTGAGATGGCATATTCTCAGTTTCCTTCTTTTCCTATTTGCATCCGGTGAATGACTATATGTTGTGGTGTACATTATATCTTGGTTTTGTTATTAGATGCACCAGCTTTTACCTAATTCTTCGTTCACCGTTCTTTGGATTGTCAATGCATGCTTGGATTCAGATATTTTTCTATAGCTTTTTTTTTTAACAGTTGATGCATACTTGTAGTCAGATATTGTTTGTATAGATTCTTTCATGATTTGATACTAAATTTTCCTGGTAATCTTCCTCTTGTCATCTTGGAATCCTCCAGCTAGAGAATTATGCAAAAACTGAAGACGCCAAAGTTGAGGAGCTCATCAAAGAAATTGCATACTCAAGTGCCAAGGTTATTGTTAGTGGAGCAGCAGTTGGAAAGATGGCACTGCACTTCTATGAGTGTTACAAGTATATTATCTCTCCATTGTCTCCCCTACTTTTTTTTTCTTTGTCATTTCATTTGCTATCATGTTTCTATTGAACCTATGGCCAAAAGATTTTACCAACAATTGTGGTTTGAATAGTTTTAAAAGATGGTTAATGCTCATGTTACACAATTATTTTGCTAGTTGGAATGGTCCTTATTGCATGTGTATGATTCTCACTGCTTATATGCAACATATTAGAATCATAGCTAAGGCAACACTGTAAGGGTATTGTGTATATTCAGAAGCATACAAGATTCTTTTCCTTCTGAAGCAGCAACTGATTCCTTTAAAAAAGTAAGCCGTAGCCTCCTATACCGTCCGACATTATGCAACTCTAAGATGTCCATAAAAAAGCATAAGAATCCATCGTTTACCTTTTTCCTCTTTAACTTCCAAGGCAATAAATCTCTCACATCGAGATAACGTTTTAATTCCTTTGTATCATCCTACACAACCCAAAGTCCTCCACTTCGACTTTCACTATCCACCCCCGTCTAAAACTTAAAACTCATTGTCAACCCCAACCACTTTAACTTCTCAGACTTCATCTTAGTTTCTATTAAAAATATTAAATTTGGCATAAGAGACTAGGTCAAATTCCTAGCTGTTCAAACTGCGCTTGCGATACCTCCCTCCTTTTGGTTCCCAATCTGTTCTACATATTTCTTTTTCGCCTTTTCCTCTGTAAGCACTACCAGTCAGTTCTTCCTCTTCTGACGCACTGGTAAGCATTGCCCTTGTCTGCGTTTCCAGCGTCGAATTTGCTGACATCTCCATCCTTGCCTCCAGTCCCACCAAATTTATTGATCACCAAATTTTCTGAGTTCATCGAAGCCTATAATGAGATTCGCATCTCACGCCCACCGTTTTCATGGCCTCAGTAACACAATAGTCCCAGATGCATTGACTCTTCTACCATTCTTTGCTGCCGCATCAGTATGAGAACATCCAAAATATATTTCAGTATGTTTAATTTAAATTTATAAATTTTAAATTTTTATTATATCCTAATATGAATTTATTAATAAGGGCAGCACATATTAAATCTTAAAATAATTTTTTTTTTTCTCATGATTCACCTTAATCATTATTTCTATTCAAATCACTGTATCTTCTTCCCCAAGAGATCAAAGTTATTTCTTCTTCTTCTTCTTCTTCTTCTTCTTCATCTTCTTCCTCCTTCCAAAACTCTAATCCACCCTACCAAAACTCACCATCATCATCAGCATCATTGTTTTTTATTATTTTGAAACCCTAAACTTTAGAAGAAAGTTTGAACAAAATCAAATAATGGATGAGAGTAATAATCAAAATAATTTTTTGAAGCAACCCAACAAAAAGGATGTAAGTATTCATATAAAGGGGTTTCACAATTTTTGTAGAACACCATCAATTATTTTTTATATCGCTTTTTTAACAAAAATTAAAGGACCCTGTAGTTAGATTAATAATAACATATTATTGAAGTTGTTCTTATTTTGTCATTTAAATAATACATTGTTTGAGAACTACTCTTTCTTGTTAATGCATGATACTTATGTGCTTATAAGTTGTCTTTTACTTTTCCACAAGCATTCTTGTGGATAATTTATAATGTAAAAGTTTTTTTTTTTCTCTGTATTGAAAAGTTTTATAATACTTATGTAAAAGTTTGGTTTTTTTTGTATTTATAATGCTTATGTACTTATAAAATTTTTTTTCTTGTATTTGAGAATTATTTTGTGTATTTAAAAGATTTGAAATAATTTAATTTTTTTAATTTGTTTATTATTTATTATTTTGATTTACTTTGAGGGTAATTTAGAAAAAATAATATGGTATAATGAGAGTAAAATAAAATTTTAAATAATTAAATAATATACTTAAAAATTAAGAGTATTTAATGATTTTTTTTTTAGTGTAAATACAATCCCTATTAAGTACATATGAGAATGCTAAAAAGACTTGCGAAGATGGGACCACCGTTTATCTGGGCTCGAAAACGTGATGGCCCTGCTGGTCCGGCCCATTTAATTTTTAATCCCCGTAACCCAGCATGAAATGGGCTGATGGCTTTATGCTCAATGACGTTAAAATAAGGGGTTAATTACACGTGGATCTTATTAAATGAATTTAAAGATCTTTAGGTCCTATGCATGTTTTATTATTCGGATTTGGTTGGTAGCTCGAAATTTAGGGCCCGAATGCCCCTAAATTTTCATATAAGGTAAAAAAAAAAAAAAAACAAGGCAAAAAAAAAAAAAAAAAAAAAAAACTTTACCAAAAAAAGAAAATTAAAAAAAAGATTCATGAACAAAACAAAAGGTCACAATAAATAATTAAATAAAAGATATTAAATGGTCCAACAGAAATAAAACCAATTGTGATGATATGATAAGTCTCAACCGCATCAGTAAATAAAAAATATTTGTAAGACATTACTCTTATATGTACCGTTTTGGATGGATCCCTGTATATCATTGATTATTTATCACTTTTTTGTATCACTTTCTATATGGATATTTATGATTGTCTTCCTTATTTGAAGATAATTATTAAATAATTAATACAAACAAATGATATTTTACCATGCAGGACAGTGATATAAAACAGTGAAATAAATAGGTGATATATAACAGTTCTCAATAAAATAATGTATAATAAGGCTAGTCAATTAATTTGTGTAAAATGAAGGTCCCATATTTTGTAACTTCGTGAGTCCTATATATGGATGGTGTGTGTGATCATATATTCCCCTTTTCTTTTTACTTCAAAACTAATATTATCATTAATATAGAAGATATGTATCTGGTCTTTTTTTTTTTTTTTTTGG